GCTCACGCTCTGGGGGTGCACCCAGCACACGGGGGGTTCTGGGCTCAAGCACACACTGAAGCCGGGTCATGGGGAGCTTCTCCTCCCCCAACACCCCAAGTCCTTCTCCTCCTCAGGCTGCTCTAATCACTTCTCCACCCAACCTGTAGCTGTGCTTTTGCAGCGCTCAAAATAGCAGCCTGAAGCTGTTGCCCATTCCCTGGCATGGTGCTATTCAGCTGTCCCAGGCCTCCTGCCTGTTCAGAGCCCTGGAGCTGGTCTGGAGCATCCCATAGTCAGGCTGGGCTGTGTGTCACAGCTAGCCAGGCCATCGTGGCCATCCCATGCCACCCAGGGCTTGCATCTTGAGGAGGCACAAGGAGATGAGCCCAATGCTGCATCTCCTGTCAGCCTGTGAGAGGCCACAGCCAGGTCCAGATTGTGGTTGTGCTTTGTCAGTGTCTGTGTTTCAGCTGGACTAACAGCACTTCTCATTCTGTTCCCCTCTTTCCTCCTCTAGAAGAGCATTCTCATTTCTTGTCCTCACGAAAATGTGTCCACCAAGTTCCTGGCCCCGTACACAACTTTTGGTAGAATTCACCAGAAGAGTGTAAGTATCTTTGCCAAGTGAGAGGGAAATGGCTGGAAGTGACCTTCCACTTTCCCAGGGTGTCTCTGAACGTTGTGGGCCCCTTCTGAGGTGTGCTCTGACTTTGTGTGTGTGAACCAGGTAATGGAACATACCAGAGCATAGAAACTTGATCATGGTTAAGTTTAATCCCTAAAAATAATCTCTATAATTCTTTAGACTATTTTTTCTTTCAAGTGACGTAATTTCTGCTCACTTCAGGCCCATGACAGACCCCCCTGTAAAGGAATATGTGAATTAGTGTGTCAAAACCCCAGATAATAAGAGGTCCCAGGTGCTGAGCTCTTCATCTCTGACTGGTTCAGCTCAATCCCTGTTTGCAGCAGCTCTTTGCTCCAATGTAATAAAGTTTTCCATCTTTCCTGTATGAATTTGTGTTTGTGGGACTGGGAATTGCATGTTGGATAAACTCAACTTGAGCTGGTGGGGATTCAGAGACCAGAAAGGTTCAGCTTCTATTTAAATAGATTGCATGAACTTCTCCTTTAAAAGCAGCCCTGCTCCTTTGGCTGAATAAATCTTCTTTCTTACCATGCCCCCATCGATCTGGGGGTGCCACAAGCACAGCCACGTGCTGAGCAGTGAGCCAGAAGGGCTGACTCTGGCCTGAAACTTCATTTCTTCACTGAAGAGAAGCTCATAACTTGCCTTTGTAGTTTGTGCTTTTGCTGAACACTTAATACTACGGGGAAATGATCCAAGAAACTGGGGAGTGTGTATCCTGCAGGTACAGCAGCTGCTCTGCAGGGAGTCCCTGAAGCTACTGGAGATGTTACAGGACACTTATCTCATGATTTATTGAGTAAATGGTTGTGATAAACCCAGCCTAAAATGCTGAAAAGCTGCAAAGTCAGTCTGAATTAGCTCAAAAGCAGTATAAATCAAGGTGCCTTTGACATAAAGGCAACTCTGCAGCTGTTTTAAGAGGAAGCAGAGCTCTGCTGAGAGATGGAGCTTGGCACGAAAAGGTGAATCACTTCCCTGAGCTTTGTGCTGCTCGAGAGTCCCCAGCTGCCCTTTTGTGGGAGAAATGGAATCAGCATTCGGAGCACAGCAAAATGGAAATGCAGGTGGAAGTGTTCAGTCTGCTGTCAAAGGGGTGATGGGTTCCAGCTGCACAGCAGAGATCTCCTCTGGAAAGCAGCTGAAGCAAGAGCTATTAATATGGAGATGAGTTTAAAGCTGGTGTGGATTGTGCTCCAGTTCTTTTTACCTGCTGCCTCTTCTGAGCACTCCTGTTTTGCCTGATTCCACGTTACGTATCCCTGCTGAAAATCTGGGCACGTGACAAACATCAGAGGGGGTTTTAGTTCCTGCTTCAACGACCTGCACTGGGTTTTTGGCTTTTTCAGCTTGAGAGCAAATTACCACAGATTGGTTTGTTCTGTAAACTGTCACTCGTGTTACCAATGTGTAAGTAAATGTACTTAATGGCTGTTGTAATGGATTAACCATTACCCTGTGCTCTTATTTAAATCATAGAACCCCAGACTGCTTTGGGATGAAGGGACCTGAAAGCTCCTCCAGCTCCAACCCCTGCCCCGGGCAGGGACACCTTCCACTAGAGCAGGTTGCTCCAAGCCCCTGTGTCCAACCTGGCCTTGAGCACTGCCAGGGATGGGGCAGCCACAGCTTCTCTGGGCACCCTGTGCCAGCGCCTCAGCACCCTCCCAGGGAAGAGCTTCTGCCTCAGAGCTCATCTCAGTCTCCCCTCTGCCAGGTTCAAGCCATTCCCCTTGGCCTGTCCCTCCATCCCTTGTCCCAAGCCCCTCTCCAGGTCTCCTGGAGCCCCTTTAGGCCCTGGAGCTGCTCTAAGGTGTCCCCTTGAGGAGCCTTCTCTTCTCCAGCTGCCCCAGCCCAGCTCTCTCAGCCTGGCTCCAGAGCAGAGCTGCTCCAGCCCTCGCAGCCGCTCCGGGGGCTCCTCTGGCCTCGCTCCAGCAGCTCCACGTTCAGGCTACAGCTCTTTAGCTAGGACTGTGGAAGCTCTTTTGGGTGTTTTACATGAGCCCAACAGCATGTTTTGGGGAGATAACAGCACTGAGTGATGTACTTAGCAGGACTCCTCCAGTACAGAGTTAGGTTCTGAAGAAGAAATACTTATATTCAGGGTGATACAAAGCTAACCTTTGGTGTTTTTTATTCTGCTGCAGATTACCTGTCTCGATATCTCCAGTGGTGGAGGGCTTGGTGTGTCCACCAGCACAGATGGGACCATGAAAATCTGGCAGGCTGCAAATGGAGAAATAAGAGTAAGAACATCTAGCTTTGCTCTGGGTTGTCTGTGACATTACTGAAGTCATTTGGCCCTGTCCTTGGTCAGGCTGTCCACATGCTGAGGTCTAGGGCAGGCAAGAATTGTGGAATGGTTTGGGTTGGAAGGGACCTTAAAGCTCCTCCAGCCCCAACCCCTGCCCCGGGCAGGGACACCTTCCACTAGAGCAGGTTGCTCCAAGCCCCTGAGTCCAACCTGGCCTTGAACACTGAGATCTCACTGAAATCTACAGTCTGGCTTTTGAACGAAAACCTAATTCAAGTTTGACATCTCTGAGGTTTTATGTGAAATCTCTGGGCAAGCATGACTTCTCCCAAGGGAAATAACACTTAGCAATCCAGAGAGGAGTCTCAGGGTGAAAATGAGAATGGGTCCTTAGGGATGACAGCTAAAAGTGGCAGCTCCTAACCTGCGTGCTACAAGCACTGAATGTCTTCTGCAGTAGAGAAGAGGTGAGGAGAAGGCTCCTGCCCATGAAGAATTAACCACTTCTTGGCTTGCTGCCTTCCCAGTTAGTGTTTCTTGTGGAGCTTGACCTGTCAGCTGCTTGTTTGGTAGAGGATAAAGACATTTAACCTGTAGTTAGAAATAAATGTGGTATCCTTTACAATGTAATCAGCTACTCATATGGTAGAGGGGTGCCCAAAGTGTACTCACTGCCTCTTGGACTGCAGACGAGTCCATTCTAGGTACACAAACCCAGAGGAGTTGAGATTAATCCTCTGTCCACATGGGAACACCAAGTTTTCCAGTCTCATAGCTGAAAAACTGCTTGGCATAAGGATGTTAACAATGGAACTAGCACATAGTTCTTTGTTTTTCCAGAGACTATTGGAAGGCCATGTGTATGATGTGAATTGTTGCAGGTTTTTCCCATCTGGCCTCGTGGTTCTGAGCGGGGGAATGGATGCCCAGCTAAAGGTCTGGTCAGCAGAAGATGCCAGCTGCGTGGTGACATTTAAAGGTCACAAAGGAGGTATTCAGCCTTTCAAATGCTTCATCTGCCACGTGTATAATTGCTTTGGACCTGAGGGCTGATGTTCAGCCACCAGCCTGCTGCACTTTGTGCTCTGCATTTGTATTGGATGGCCACAGCAGCTTTTCCAAGCTCCCAGAACATAAATAGGAAGATCAGTAGCTGTATTAGACAGATGGAACTCTTCATCTCACCATTTTGGTGCATTTTCTTCATGAATTAAGATTGAAAGAGGGAAGATGCAGTCCATTAGCCTGTGGTGAGTGCCAGAGGTGGAGGCAGAGGGCAATCTGCTTGTCTAGAGCTCGAACCTGCATTCAGTAGCCTTGCTGCCTGTACTGGGAATGCCTCTGCTTGAGCAGAACGCCCTGTTCAGCTTTAGCTGCTCCAGAGCCTCTTCCTTTTGGTTTTGTTGTTTGTTTTTCATTCTCCTTGCCCAGAAAAGCAAACAGTAGCTTATTATGGACTTGCAGAACTCAGGCGGTTACCTGCCTCGAGGACACATGCTGTTTGAAGAGAGTAAGGCAGAACAAGAGGTGCTGCAAGGACACTTAAGTGATTATTACTTCAGAAGGGCTGGAATAAGCTTGTTCACCCCTGTACTGAGGGCAGATGTTCAGCTCTGCCCCTGCTGATGGTCTTGCTGCTGAAAATGAGAGTAAATTCTTCACCCTCCTTGTGTCCTCCTGTTGAGGATGCACTGACCACCTTCCCTAGTGAGTTTAGTGCTGTTCCTTGCCTCCAGGATCTGCACTACAGACTCCTCCATTTGACACTGGCTTAGTCCTAGACAAGAACTTGCAAGAGATGGAAAATAGGCTACCCTAAGAGCTGTGATCAGACAAGTTTCTGGACAGAGCCTCTGTTAGTCTCTGGAAAGCAGATTTGGGTTTCCAGGACCCTTTATTCAGAAGCAATGTGGATTTCTACATACTGCTTAAGCATGCTCCTCTTTTACTCTTTGTTTACACCAGGCCTGGAGCACAGTGGCCAGTGATGCTGTCTTGTCATGGCAGGTGGTTGCTTCCAAGTGAGTTGTGGATGTGGCATCAGATGCCTCAAACCCTGCCCCAATTACCTGTCCCTGAGCAACTAACTGCTCTGTACAGTTCTCCCTGTCTCCCAAGGTGTTTGGTGTTACTAGAAAGGTCCATGTGGCTGCCCAAAACTTGATTAACTCAAAAACTCATCTTTTACTGAACCTGCTGCTGTTCTCATGTGATTTCTTGGTGTGGATTCAAAATACTTTGCTGTAGATGTCCATCAAACCAAGGGTGGCAGGCAGTGTAACACAGCTTTGGGCACAACACCACCGCCTGGCTCCTGACAACTCTGATGTTGCCTTTATTCCCTGCTTAGAACTCCAGCCCAAGCTGCTGCTGTCTTTGTGCTTGGCTTGTCCTGTCATTTGAGCTTGTCATGTTTAATGACTTTTTTAGTGTCAATTAAATCTTCAAACCATCTGACTGTTCCCTTCCAGAATACATGGAGTTGTTGTTCAGAGCTAGACTTGACAGCCCACAGTGAAAAAAAGCAGTTAAGGAACATCAGCACCTGCAAAAACTGCTCTTCTGATGTTTCTGTAGCCACCTGAGGGGATGCTACTTGCTCCTCACAACTTTTGGGATTACCCAGAGCTGGACTTGGAAACATTTTAAGTGCTGGACCAGGCTGTTTTCTTCTCAAGGTTAATTCTGGAGGTAGAAACTGCAGGAGCTGCAGGATCAGCTCACTCTGAGGCTGATGATTTTATTGGTAATATCTTGCCTTTGTGCCAGATGATGGCTCCAGCTCCTCATGGTTTTCTGGGAACTGCTGCCTTCCACATACACCTCTTTCTAGACCCTGTGGGTCCCTACCCCACGCTGCACCCCACACGGTTTGGCTCTGATGACTGGTGGCACTCTGGGGACAGTGGCTTGGGAAATGAGGTGCTTTGTGTGACTCCGTGCTCTCTGAACACGTGGCTTTGCCTTGCTGCAGGTATTTTGGACACAGCCATTGTGGATCGGGGAAGGAACGTCCTGTCCTGCTCCAGGGACGGCACCGCCCGGCTCTGGGACTGCGGGAGATCTGCCTGCCTGGGGGTCATCGCTGACTGCGCCTCTCCCATCAATGGCATTGCTGTGGGCACTGCAGAGAGCTCCCTCAGCCTGGGCACGCCCGAAACTGCCCCGAGTGAGAGTCTGCCCCTTCACACTCATCTTTGAGAGCAGCCTGAGGAGAAGGACTTGGGGTGTTGGGGGAGGAGAAGCTCCCCATGACCCAGCTTTGGTGTGCGCTTGAGCCCAGAACCCCCGTGTGCTGGGTGCACCCCCAGAGCATGAGCAGCAGCTCAGGGAGGGGATCCTGCCCCTCTGCTGTGCTCTGGGGAGACCTTAGAGCAGCTCCAGTGCCTAAAGGGGCTCCAGGAAACCTGGAGAGGGGCTTTGGACAAGGGATGGAGGGACAGGCCAAGGGGAATGGCTTGAACCTGCCAGAGGGGAGATTGAGATGAGCTCTGAGGCAGAAGCTCTTCCCTGGGAGGGTGCTGAGGCGCTGGCACAGGGTGCCCAGAGAAGCTGTGGCTGCCCCATCCCTGGCAGTGTTCAAGGCCAGGTTGGACACAGGGGCTTGGAGCAACCTGCTCTAGTGGAAGGTGTCCCTGCCCGGGGCAGGGGTTGGGGCTGGAGGAGCTTTAAGGTCCCTCCAACCCAAACTATTTCAGGATTCCCCTGTCCCAGACTTCTTAGGTTTGTCATCACTAATCCTGACTGCGTGGTGTGCTGCTGCATGCCCTGTACCACTTAGGAAAGGGAACTGCGGTTGCCAGATTGGAACATTCCAGTCCTAAGGAATAATTGAGCCTTATCAAGCAGTTTGAGTGATTAAGACTGGGATGTCCTTGCTAGTGTTCCAGGCTGCGGAGGAATGTTGCTTTAGATTCGGCAGGGGGGATCCAAACTGGCAGGTTTTGGTACCATTGCAGAGCCACTGCTGGAATTAACCATTGTCCTTCCATCAGGTGAACGGGAAGTTGGGACAGAAGGGAAAATCCTGCTGCTGGCTCGAGAGGACAAGAAGCTTCAAGGAGTGGGTCTGCAGAGCAGGCAGCTGGTAAGGAGTGAGGCTCTCACAAGTACCTGCCTGGGAGCGTGCCCTGAGGTGCTGCTACAAAACCACCTCTGGGGCCTATCCCTTTGTTCCTGTGGCTGTGCAGAGCTCCTTGGTCTGTAACTGCTGCTCCTGTGGCTGTGCAGAGCAGTAGGATGGGGAGTTAAGCAACGTTAAACCCAGGTAGTTTATCTGTCTCATTACCTAGAGGAAGAAGCTGGTTAGTGTAATCCCAGCTTCATTCCCCATGTGGCACAGAAAGGGACAGATCCAGGCTGGAGGCTGGGAATAGCTGATCATCCCTTTGAGTTTACACTGCAGTGTTCTCCCTTGTGTGTATTCCCTGGAGGAGAAACTAAAACCTGGTGCAATAAAGGGAGATTTTCTCTCCTTCCTACTGGCCAGATTTTTATGTGGGGGGTTGAGGAGTGAGAATTACTCCTCGTTTAACCCGGGTGTGTGGAAGACACCATTTAAACAGTGGCCAGTAGATGTCATTGTGAAGCAGGAGCTTGAAGCTCTCTCATGCAGCCAGGGTGTAAAGTTGCTGTTCATTCTGCAGGTGGGACCTCAGGTGGTCACCAGAGCTTGTCCCTCCTCTTAGCAAAGGGAAATGACCTCAGGTACTGAGATCTTACCAGGACGATCCTGGGCAAGGGTTGGAACTGGATGGTCTGAAGGGTCTTTCCAACCCAAACTATTCCATGATTCTATGTAGCAGATCAAACAGCTCGTGGTGGTTGTGGAGGGTAAAATTTGGGTGGAACAGATGAACTCCTTGTGGTCAGTGAGATGGCAAAGTGTCTGAAGATGACTTTGAGCTCAGCATCAGTTTCCTCTCGCTGTGTGCCACATCCCTGCTCCAGAGGAGACTCAGGAGCATCCACTGATTGCAGTGTCTCCCCTGACTTACCAGAACTGATCCTGGAGCAATTCACCTCATCTTGGAGCAGCACTAAGAGGTTATTAACTTGCCTCTGGGTTTGCCACTTTGTGCCAAGACTCATGGAAGCAACTGTACTGACTTGTAAATGGCTTATTGCTTCCTTCTGGTGTCCTGTGTCCTGGTCTGTGTGTCTGACATTTGTTCTGTGTTCTCAGGTGTTCCTCTTTGTTGGATCTGATGCATTCAACTGCTGCACATTCCTCTCAAGTACCTATATCCTGGCAGGGACTCAGGATGGGAACATTTATCAGCTGGATGTGAGAAACACAAGGTGAGTGAGCAAAGGGCTGAGGCTGGAAGTATTTAACACACCATGAGTTTGTTGGCTGGGAAAGAGAGCCAGATTGAGGGTGCTGCAGACAATACCCCTTCTAAAGGGTAGATGTGGCCCAAGCCGTGGCATCATGAGCTTATGAGCCTCTTCACAGCCATTTCTGTCTCTTGGGGAGCACTGGGGGGATACTTCTGCTCAGGTTGGTGGTCTCATGGGATGCTCTCTGGCAAGTGCCTCCTAAAAGACTATAGACTTGAGCTGGAGCAGCTCTGCTCTGGAGCCAGGCTGAGAGAGCTGGGCTGGGGCAGCTGGAGAAGAGAAGGCTCCTCAAGGGGACACCTTAAGAGCAGCTCCAGTGCCTAAAGGGGCTCCAGGAAACCTGGAGAGGGGCTTTGGACAAGGGATGTAGGGACAGGCCAAGGGGAATGGCTTGAACCTGCCAGAGGGGAGACTGAGGTGAGCTGTGAGGCAGAAGCTCTTCCCTGGGAGGGTGCTGAGGCGCTGGCACAGGGTGCCCAGAGAAGCTGTGGCTGCCCCATCCCTGGCAGTGTTCAAGGCCAGGTTGGACACAGGGGCTTGGAGCAACCTGCTCTAGTGGAAGGTGTCCCTGCCCGGGGCAGGGGTTGGAGCTGGAGGAGCTTTAAGGTCCCTTCCAACCCAAACCACTCTGGTGTTCGATGAGCTCACTTTCTTTCAGCGTTAACACATTGCAACGGGCTCTTGCTAAAAGCTGTGGTGCTCATCCCTTGTTTCTGCTCCATTTTCCAGTGCTCCCATCCAGGTCATCCATCGATCAGGAGCACCAGTGCTCTCGCTGCTCCCGTACCGAGATGGATTTATTGCCAGCCAAGGTAACTCCAGTGCTCTGTGGTGCCGCTAGAAATTGTCGCATGCGATGGAGGAGCTTTGTGCTCTTGAGTATTGCCCTCTGGCATACGAGTGGTTGTAGGAGAGGGTTGGACAGTGCCCATGGTGAAAAGGTGATGTTATAGGAGCTGTATTACATGGCTGCTTCTTGCCTTGTGGTTTCCACCCCCCACTATCCCCTCTGCTCCTGCAAAATGGGGCTTCCAAGGTGCATCTCAGCTCTTGGAGCCTCACAGCATGTTTCCCTCTTCCCGGGGCCTTCCTACCCTGTGATCAGGTGTTTGATGGACCTGTCTGTAACTAAGAGCATGGCTTAGTGCACTAATTGGCCAATGGTCCTCACTTCTTGGTATGTTCTGCTCCTGTAGGTGATGGAACCTGCTTTATCATCCAGCAAGACCTTGATTATGTCCTTGATCTCACAGAAGCTGACTGCGACCCCGTGTACAAGGTAAGGAATATGGTGTGTTGCCCCAGTTGTAGGGACAGGTGATGCCAGGTAGCATGAGCTGCCTTTATCTGAGAACTTGGCAGCCCTCACAACACGTTCCTTCACACAGTTCACTTTTAAGCTTAGTGGTTTCTTCCTTCCTGAATAATCTCTATATTCTGCATAAAGAGCTCCTCTGCGGTGACACACCAATGTTATCTCCATCGTGCAGGAGCCAGACTGAAGCAGTGGAGGAGCCTGATTATTGGAGTAGCTCTTGTAGGATGGTGTTTTTATAAAGCATATGAATTAATTACGCTCAAAAGATCATAAGGGTGAAAGGAGCAGCCAGCTCCATGGTGCTGCCTCTCCTCTCTTGTCCCCTGGTGGCTTGAGAGCAGAAACTAGGTCTTGTCATTGCGTTTCCCACGGCACCAGCGCTGCTCAGGGATCCCTGAGCTCTCGGCCTGGTGCTGCTGGTGGAAATCAGCTCTTGTTTTCACCCATTCCAGTTCCACGCTCCCGTTCTCCCTCTCCTACCCAGCACCCCCCTGAAGATTAACACTGAGCCTCACGTGGAGGCTGAGATTTGACCTGCACGACTGATTGGCACGAGTTAAACATGAGAAAAGCATGGGAAAATGTCGTTTTCCCTTTGGATCTAACAGAAGAACACCGTGTGAGCGCTCACCTCCTCCCTGATCTCCTGGTGCAACCTCGGGCTGGCCTTTAAATGCTGTTCCAGGAATCACTCGCCTCTCTCTAGGAAAATGATTCCGGAGAGTTTCAGCTGGTACTTGGGAAATACTGTGCTTGAATAATACTTTTCCCCCCTCTTTTCCAGGTGGCTTCTTGGGAGAAGCAGATTTACACGTGCTGCAGAGACGGGATAGTGAGGAGATACCAACTCTCCGACCTTTAAGTGCTTGGATCCACCAAATAGCAGAGGGAAGTGCCAGGAAGGCTCTTCCAAGCTGATTTTCCTGCGCCGGGATGTAGGAGCTTCCGAGGCCA